TCCAGATTCTATTGCATTTTGTTTTGACTCAGAATTCCCTTCACATTCCTGAATAGCCTCAAGTTTATCGATGTTGCTGTTATCTATGTAATTTTCTTGTAATTCGATGTCTTCTGGATTATCGAATTTAAAATATTTTTTTCTGGTAGCTTTATTACCAAAAAAGTACATTTTTGTAATCATTGCATTAAACATGTGAAATAAGGTAAATTTACAATATACTCGTAATAATATTGTTTAAAACAATAAAAGTAAAAACTTACATAAAAGGTCGTGCGTATGTACCACATACGATAGAGGTTATAACTACTTGAATACACTTTTATTTAATTTTAAGATTACGAATCTCTTATTTCTCACATATGGAGAATGATCAGAGGACAAAGAAAAGAGATTAACTAACTAATGAAAACGAAACATATTCAAAAAGAAACATAGGCAGACTACTTTAGATCCCTATTTGCTAAAGGTGACGATAATGAACCACCAAGACCAGAGGTGACGGCAAACGAAGAAATAAACATTTAGGGTGAAGATAAAGAAAGCATTAAGGAAATTAAAAAATAGAAGATCACCAGGAGAGGACAGAATACCGAACGAACATCCGAAGACTTCTGAAGTACAGAGCACCATATCTGACCAAACGACTGCTAAAACTAATCCAAAAAATAATAGATCAAAACAGAATTCCTTAAGAATGGAGATCAAGCATCCTAATGCCTCTATTCAAAAAAGAGACAAATCGGACTCGGAAAATTATAGAGGAATTAATTTATTAAACACAACACTAAGAAGCAGAAGAACAACAAGGTTTTAGATGGGGAGCTCTCTCAGGTGAAGATGACTTACAACATTTAACAAAATTTAACATGTTAATTTCCCCAAAAAAAGACAAAATGCATGGTTATAACAGCAAATTTACTAAGATGTAAATTAGAGCTGGAAGATCAGATAATAGAACACGTGATAGAATTTAAATATCTAAGCATCTCATTATCTAGCTACGGAAAGTTCTAAACAGAAGTGGAACAATATAAAGAAATAAAAATATCGGGAAAGAAAATAAAGGCAGAATTTACAAAAGAGTCATCAGATCAATAATGACATACGAGTAAGAAACACGACCTGACACAGAGAGGACAAAAAAATGTTAGAAACAGCAGAGATGAAAACTTTACAAAAATTTTATGGTAAGACACTATGGGACACATCTAGAAGTACACATCACATCAAGGACTTAGAAATAGAAGAGTAGAATGAAATGATCATATAAGCCGAATGACAACAAATATAGTAGTAAAGACGGCAAGAAACGGTTTTCCAATAGCAAGACGATCAGTAGTAAAACCACGAAAACAATGGAACGACAACTTACTGAAGGCACATTGAAAAACAGACAGAGTCTTGTATACATAAAAAGAAGAACAAAAAGTATTTCTCACATAAAATACTGATTTTCTTAAAATTATTGCGCATAATATAAAGGAAAAGATAATATAAGATACTTTGGACGCGAAATATTGTTCCTTAATATTGTTAACTGCACTTCGAATATCAGTCACACTTAGCGAAAGACTCAAGTAGTTCGTTACATCAAAACAAATACATCGGAGGTAGAGAAAACTTTTTTAAAGTTTTTATCACTTAGTGACAAAACAGGTGAAAGCCTCAGCCAAGAAATCCTAAAAAAATTAGACAAAGATGGACTTAAAGAACTGTATAGGTAAATTCTACGACAATTAGGCACATATATCGCTGGGAAGTATAAATAAATTCTGTCCAAATTAGTTTCGGAGAACTAGCTAACAGATTTTGTCCCATGTGCTGTTCTCCGAAAATATGTACCACTGACATTGAAATCAAAAAGACAATATGGCCTGCAAGATAGATGCGGCAGAAGCTGTGTATAAACAAACATTACAGTAAAGTTGGGCTACAGAATCTTAACAACCATGATCTCTCAAGACCTCAAACTATGAGTGACCCCAATTCCTTGTTTAAAAATATTGGAAAATATTTTTGAATCTGAAGTCTTGCAGAGAGTTTGCTCCATCTAAGGCCGTTCTTCTTCTTCGTGTGCCATATCAGAATGACCGACGTTGACGATTACCATTGCGAAGGCTTCTCGATCTTCTGCAATATGGAATAATTGTCCCGCATTTGATATCCGAGTCCATTCAAGAATGTTCCTCAACTAAGAAACTCGTTTCCTTCCTACATATCTACGGCCTCCTATTTTATCTTTAAGGATCAGTTGTAATCTTTTATATCGAACTCCCCTTACTATATGTCCCAGATAAGACATTTTTCAATGTTTAACAGTCTTTAGCTGTTCTCTATCTTTGTTGACGCTCCTTAGTACTTCTTCATTAGATTTCCTTGCTTTCCAAGGTATTTTCAGCATTCATCTATGAACCTACATTTCCCATGCAACAATTTTTTCATGTTCGATACTTTTAGCATCCACACTTCTGCACTATACAAAAGTACGTATAAACATAGCGCTTAACCATTCTTTGTTTTAGTTCTAAACGGAGATAATTATTGCAAAGAAATGAACTCGCTTTCATAAAACTAGTTTTAGTAATTGCTATTCTACGTTTTATTTCTATGTCTGGATCTAGTTGGTCCGTTATCACAGTTCCTAAATATGTCATTTTGAACTTTCTCAATTTGGACTCCGTTTAATTGAAGCTTTGCATCGGGATGTCGGTCACGACATGTTCACGACTAAACACTAAAAATTTGGTTTTGTTTGAGTTTATTTTAATGCTCATTTCCTCTCCTACCTCGTGAATACGATCAAGCAGAATTTGGAGACCTTCAATATTATCCTACAGAATTACTGTATCGTCTACATATCTAATCACATTAAGTAGTTCCCCGTTGATTTTTATTCCATATGGTTATCTTTCAAGTGCCTTTTTAAATAACTGGTACGAGTAAACATTGAACAATGTTGCTGACAAAATGCAACATTGTCTGACTCAGATAGCAGTTTGACTCCAATACAAATTTTTAATGACACGAATATCCTTCTCATCTATTCCGATATTTTTCAGTATTTGCATTAATTTTACATGTTGTACTTTATCGAATGCCGTTTCGAAGCCCACGAAAAATGCAAATACATCTTTTCTTTGATCACGGCATTTTTGTAATAGGATTTTAAGCGTAAAAAGTGCCTCCCTGGTTCCCATAGCATTTCTAAAACCAAATTGGGTATCTTCGGGATCTTCGCATTTGCGTCTAATTCTGTTGTGAAGTATTCTTAGGAAAATTTTAAGAGTGTGGCTCATTAGGCTAATAAATCGATATTCTGAGCATTTTGTCGCATTGTGTTTTTTAGGTATTGCGACAAAGATGGATTTGAGCCAATCTGTGGGAATCACTCCGGTGTTATATATTGAATTAAAAAGTCTTACTGCTACTTTTATGTTATCATCCTCTATTAGTTTCAGCAACTCATTTGGTGTATCATCTTGACCATAAGCTTTTCTAATTTTAGCATTATTTATTACGTGTTCTACCTCGCATTTCATAATTTCTGGGCCGTTAGTACAGTTTTGGTAGAATTCGGCAATATTATTCCTGTCATCTTCAAACAACTCTGGTATACACAGCTGCCATTCTTTTTTTATTTCGTTCTCATTTACAATAATTTTGGTATTATTGTCAACGAGTACAGAAAGAACTCGTTTTTTAAATATGTTACTCATTTCTTTTATTTTTTTGTGCACATTAAATAGGTCGTGCTTAGATATTACATCCTCCATTTCGTCGCACCCTTCTCTCATCCATTTTTCTTTGGCTAATTTGATCTCCTTTTTTATTCTTCTCTGCATGTGTCTATATTCTGTTTGATTAGATTTTATCAGTCGACGTTGTTCTAGTAATTTCAAGATGTCGTCTGTCATCCATTTATTTTTCTTGATTAAGTTTTTTCTATAATTATTGTTTGTCGAGATCTCGTTAACTTGGTTTTTTCGTTAACTAAGGCCATTACTGAGGGTAAATTCTTAGCAAGCATGAATGATTATCCATCTGAGTGAGCTGTGTGGTGATAAAGTGCTGAGAATATGTACCTGGTAGTCAAGTTATGGGTTGTTTACCGGATGATTATGAAACTTAGAGACAGATTTAAACCTTTACAGCAACAACAGCAAGTTTGGATGTGTGTCGTTTGAATGAAAGAAATGTAAATAAAATATCTAAAGATGAAAATAAAAGAATTGGCAACATCTACACTGCTGACCTCGATACTAAAGAATTTAAATCTAAAATAGAATGTTTTAAGCGCCACTCTTTATCAGTTGATGAAAATTTAAAGGAAGCCACATCAAGATAAATATTAAGTCATTATAAAAACAATATTAGAAGGTTACCCTAACATTACCGTCGCTACCCCAACATTACTGTCGCACTTTCAATTACTGCATCTAAAAAATATCTTAGCTGTTTTTGATGGGAGAGAGAAATCGAGAAAGGAGCGGCAAACTGATCTTTGTCCCCCTTACAAATCTCCTAGTTCCGGTCCCTCGATATATGGAATATATGTCTGGGGATATCTAAATAAATTTAGCATAGCTATATATTAGAAAGAATTATTTAAAAATGTTACACGTGACGAACATCTACCCACAACTACTTCTACTATCCTCAGTACAACTACAAATAAACAGAAGACAGATATTATCGCCAACTAATATATTAGTGCTCCTTCACTGAGAAGAACTCAATTAAACAATAAAATCACATAAAATTTTTCGATTGTTAAATAAATGAATATATTAACACGAGACTTTAAATATTTCTTTTCTTGTTACATTTTTTTTACAATTTATTTTCTTTCTCGAAGACCGTCCTTGTTGTTTAGCGCTAATATAAAAGCAAAGAAAAGACGCTTAAAAGTTTGGGATGCACTGAGTTTACAAAACCCAGTTTATATGCTTTTGCTGTTATGTGCTTAAATTACTACTCTTTTTGTTTACGGTGTATAAAAACAAACTTGTTCCGGCGGTTTTCGCTAGTCGTCATTTTCTATAAAAGTTTTCAAGTTGCAGTGGTCGCGGCAGCACGGAATAAGATAGTCGTGTGCACATCCACGCGTTCGTATCATAGAATACACCGACGTATTCAGTGGATCGGTGTGAATATTTACATTTCAAGCGTGTGATGAATTTTTAACATAACCTCAATTTTTGTATACAAAACAATTATTTTTGTATATAGCATATTATTTATTTTTGAGTGATCGATTATTTAGTGTGCAGTAGTTATTAATATAAAAAGGTGAGTTATCAATTTGTATTCTACAAGAGTAGTCGCTTATCATGTAAAATGTTATAAATTTAACACTATTACCTAGATAATTAATAAACATAAACATTGTTTTTATTACAAACAATGAATTATCAACTAAATGATTCTAAATTTTGCAACCTTAATTCAATTATTTATATTATCCGTACCTTAAAAATGTAGACAGTGGTTCAAATAGTAAATATTTGAATACGTACATGTTTTAAATGTTAACTATTGTCCTTACCTCACCTTTTTTTGCTTTTGATGAATGAAAATTATTGATCTTGTTAAGGGTCAATCAAGTTCAATTAGGTATAATTGCAAGTAAAGTTACACAAGATTTAGACTACAGTCTGATTAAATGGATATATGTATTTTCCAATTGATTCAAATAAGTTCCTATTTATTTTAAAACCACAAGGAAAGCGAAATTCGAAATTAAAATGAAGTTAGTACAGAAAGCACATTCCTCAATGTTTAACCCTTCGTGGAGAAATCTTTGATATAAACACTGATAGTTTATATAAAAAGGCTGATGGATGTACGAAAAGGACTGAGTATTTATTTACAGCGGTATAAGCCGATGACACTACTGTAAACGTCGTTGTCCGATGTCTATTTTGGTCATTCCATGGACCTTTTCTTAGATTCCTCCAATTCACATCTTTTGATATTCACTCTTTTCAGGTTTTCCTTGGTCTTCCTTGTTTGTTGCGATTCGGCGGTGTCCAAACCATTTTCCCTGTAAGTCGTCTGTTACACACCGGTCGTACTGCAACTAATTGTTTCCATATTTTCATTTCGAATTTTATCTTTCCGAATTATTTTTAAGGATCTTCATAATAGGTTTATCGAATAGTTAATTTCCATTGTCTCAATCTTCCTCTTATAGTTTTCTTAAGGCACCAAATCTCGGCTTTACAGAGCAGACTACATCTTCGCAGACTACACTATTCAGTGTTACATACATATTTTCGCTCTTTTGTGGTTTTCTTTTTCTAATTTGCTTGTCATTTCTGCCAGGTGGAAATGGAAAATATATTTTAATATTTTCTGTGTGTCTGGGGAGACGTTCTCTATTTCGTAGTTTTCAGAGCGACATTGTGTTTCCTCCCTCTTGTTTGTGATTAAAGTTAATAGGGTATTTTTGAATTACGATAAGAATTTTGAATTAAGAGTCTGCAGCTTCAGCCTGTAATGTTTTTAATATATTATGGTAAACTTCCTCGTTCTTGTTCAACATCGCGGTTGACTCTTTTTAAACAAATAGATCACTCAAAGTCTCTTGGAGGACAACCGTTCCGTTCCAACGCTTTTTCTAGATGGTGTAATTCTTTTCCCAAATATTAGGTTTTTATGTTTCTCTCTTATGTTTAAGATGTGTAAATAACGGTAGTGCACGTTGGTTTTCAGTATAGCATGTGTCTAGCTATGGCTATAATGCTAGTTTTACCTTAAAGTTTACATTATCATTGTTTCTCGGCAACGGTTGCAGCAATAAATTGTTTCTTGACGTAAAACTTAGGCATTAAATTAGCAATCAAGTCCATGCGGTTCGTCTTTTGCCAATATCTCGGTTTTCCGGCGTGTGTCTTGAGCTAGGGGATGATGGGGTAGCTTTTGGAGATTGGTTAATATACCAATCAACAGAAATTGGTATGCTAACTTTACAGGCATGAATTACCTTATACCATATTCCTTAACAGGTAAAGAACCAGCACGTCACGATGCAAGTCAAATTTAAAACGCTGGACGTTTTATTCAACGGATGACAGACGTGACTGTGGCAATATTTAGCTGAACGGCCGAACAGCTATTGGTTTGAATGCACGTGAGACATGAATTGACGCTCCTCTACTTAATGGCAGCCAATGAAAAGATATTGGCAGTATAATATTTAAAGTGAACCGGACGCGGAAAGTAAATAAGTAACAGCAAAATGCCTTTTGTTCTGCTAGCTGTACGTCTTGTTGTTTAAATTTTTGCATCCAAAAATTTCCGATATGTGGAATCTAAATTGTCCCCCCTTAAAATATATTGTGATAAAGCGGTAACGGAAAAGGTTTGTGGTATCTTCTGGGAATTGACTAATGCACTAGTATTACGTTAATTTCCATTTATTTCTCGATAAAGTGCGTAGAATATCTGGTTTAAGTTTCAAATTGGCTAATGGTTGGTTTTATCAATCTTTACAAACAAAAAAACCTTCTTTTATAGAACTATTTTATGAATACTCCTATTTTTAATCGTTTCATCTGTATATTATCTTTTTCTTCAACAGAACGTCGCTTTTGTCTTCTTTTCGTAGTTATCCACTTCCAAGCCTTTTAGAAACATTTTCCGTGACACCGCAGCTGCGGTTTTTATATGCGATATACCTACCCAACATTTACTGTACCAATTTCCGTATTTCCGTATTGACACTATTGAATTCCCATCATAGAAACAGTCGGCCGTTTATCTGTATATCAACTTTTCCTTCAACAGAATGTTTGTCTTCTTTCCATAGTTATCCACGTTCAAATTTTTTAGAAAAAACTTTTTCCGTGATAGGTTTTACCGAACTACCGCAGGAGTGGTTTTTATATCCCATATGCTTAACATTCACCGTACCAATTCTCATATTTCCATAATTAAATTACTTCGATTATGTGCGGTTTCACATAAATGTTTGTAGCCCTAAATTTATCCAATTACATCCATGCATAGATTATTATAAAATATGTAGCTTAATAGATAATACAGATATATTCGGAATGTCTTTTCTGATATTATTACAAAGAATCAAACCAATGATTCAATTGCTGATTTTTTCTGTTATCGCAGTTGCCTTATTATTGATAAAATATAGTGATATCCTATTTTATTCATACTATTTTATTTGCGGTTTACCAGTTTTGAGCTTGAACTAACTTAATAGTTCTTATTTGGTCTAACAGTTCTTTATTTTTTTAATACTTTATACTTTGCTCTCTTTTACAGAGTTCCAGTTCGTAATTATTCATCATAATTCTGGCTATACAACACAATATGGGTCCTAACCTTAATAGTTTTCCTCCAGTCTTTCCTATTCATCGCCCTCCTCTGCAAAGCATTTATTCCCATGTTTTTTATATCTTCTTCGATTATCTGAACGCATCCTTTTCTGGGTCTTCCTCTTCTTCGCTGACCAATAGGTCTATCAAGGAGCGTTTTTGTAGCTGGGTCATTTTGTTCTATCCGCATTACATGTCCTACCCACCTTAGACGTCATATTTTAATGTGTTATCTGGTTCCTGGAATATTCTGTACAGTTCGAAGTTGTATCATCTTCTTCATACATCAACATCATTCACGTTAGTACCTTCTTCTCAAAACATCCTAAACTCTTTCCATTGCGTGTTTTTTGTGTTTCTGAGCCGCATATTAAGACTGGACCTATTATTATTTTTGAAAACTTCACCTCTGTATTTCTTGATATATTTGAAAGTTTAAAAACGAAATTGAAGTGAGCCCAAAATAGCACCAGTTGGCTATACAAATTCTGAGGTTAATAAATGCGCAATTACAATAGTGTCATTGCCCATGCTTATAAGTAATCCCAGGTATACAAATTCGTTAACTGTAACCGACTGTAACTGTATTGTGACCGTAGGATTCGGAATTGTGCCTTAAATTATTTCATTTTGTTGGTTTTTAATATAAGACCCATTTTGTTGTCTGCTTTTTAGCGCTATATATGACTCTTTTACATCGTTCTCCGTTCTTCCAATGATATCGACATCAGAATAGCCAATGATTTGTACAGACTTTTTTTATATTGAGCCTTTGGTTCTGATTCGCGACGTGGTTATTACCTTTTCTAGTGCTAAGATTAAATAGTATACGGAAGTTATAAATTTACCACCTGTAAACGCACTTTGGAATTTTCTAATTCATCATCGTCATTTCCAATTTTTCTCGTTTTCTAGGTTATTAGTTTCGTCCTTCATTTCAATCTCAGTAAAGTATCCATAGCATACCATGAGTTGTTGTTTAGTATACTTTGTAATGGTGTAAAATATGTAGTTAATGCAACAAACATTTTTTTCAGTCACTCATTACTTTCTGCTCCTCACCAGCAGCTGCTGTAGTGGGTTAATCAAAAATAAACCTCTTGTACTACCAACCAAGGCGTGGGTAAGAAAAACATTTTTTCAAAATTTTGTGAACATCTTTGTATTTTCGTTGGTTAACACATGAGGAAGTGGGAGTTCTTCCGGATTCACGTGTTTAAGAATATTCTTCCCTTTCTTTCCCAAAGATATAAAAGACTCTTTTCCTTCATACTTGTAGTTTTTCAAGTCTCTTACCAACACAATATTTTTGTAAGACCTTCCTTTTCCCGTTTGTCGCAGGTGTTCAATTTCTTCTTGTGTCTGGTAGCATATTTCAATTCTCTTCAGTTTACTAATTGATTGGATGTTCTTATAGTATTCACTTAGCTTCTTAGTATCAAAAATTGGCCAATCTTCTCCTAGTGCTCTTACCTTGCCTTAAATTATGGGTTTTTTTCGCTGCTTTTTTGGTCTTCTCAAAACACGGTCGGCGGGTAAAAAAAATATGCCGTGTACAGCGAAATACAATAAAATTATTTAGATTGATATTTTGTGTGTTTCCAAAAAATGAATCAGTGTTCTCAGAACAAAATTATTTTTATTGTAAGAAACACAACCATCGCTATACAACCTTAGTACAGAACAACCCTAAAAATTAGCTTCTTTCAAATAGTTAAATAGAGCCGATGACATTTCCACACTGTCTTTTCCTGCCTGCTTCTCTGGCCAAGTGTAGAACATGTGGTTTTGAGTTTTTAGATCAGTAATACAAAAGTTATAAAACCAAAGTTGTCTCGCGTGATAAGCTTCTTGAATTGGACTTTTCGGTTGTGGCTAAATTTGTTGAAAATCAAAGTAAGGGTTAACAGAATGAGAAACATTCATTTCCATCATTGATTATAAGCCGTACCACTAACTGGTAGTGGTTTATAATCAATGTTTCCATGTACTTATAAAACGCCTTTCTTCTTGATTGAATCGGCTTTTCAACCATTAGCTGCGCCTTTCAGCAATCTGTGCTGGTGCACTTTTAATTTATTCTTTGAAAAGGCAACACGTACTGTAAGTATCGGAGGCAGGTGACTTAAAACCTATGTTAATATTTTACTTAGTTTACTAATACTTAATTCACTACTCAGATATAATCTTAGTGACCTCATCTTTTTCCTTCAACAGCAAACTCAAAATGCACTTATTTGGCTATGTTTTTATTGTAGTTTCTGCAATACCAATAACAGTGCGAAAAAGCTTTAAATATACAAAAGTTTTAGCACCAGAGACAGTTTCAAAAAAGTATTGTATTGAGTACTTTCGCTCAGGTCCAGGTTTTTTGTTTTGTTTTTGTTTTCTGACCTAGACCTATATCTTTCGATTTGTGTTGTATTTGGCAATTATATTGTCTTGTATTTTTGTGTCTGGAACTGTATAAAACTATTCTTTGAAAGCGCTCATGTAAATAGGCCTTATGTTTACGCACGTAAAACGTTTCATGTTGTGCTTAAACGGTACAAAAACAAGGGCTCTTTAAGGAGCTGCATACTTGGTAATTTGTTCACTTTTCTTTTTTTCCTCCTGTAACTCTTCTCTTTCTAGTCCCATCATTTCCTTCACCAACACTCACACTTCCATCTGCCCCATCCATTATTCTTTAAATAATAAAGTATATACTAATTGGTTTTAAATACTTTGACAACACACCCTCACATAACCTCAAATTTATACGTCTCACTGGGTCAGTTGAGTGGCAGTTGCAGAGCTCCTATTGGTTCGTTGGAAATAAACTGGTTAGCATGGACCAGTATAGTGGAAATAAGTTGTTTTGCATGTAAAGGTGGTTTTTAACATGGTTTTATCACGGATAATATGTTTTTGCATGAATCGGATAAAATAAACCACTTTGGCTACAACAGAACAATGGATTTGGCAGATCTAACTCAACTTCGATTTTTGTGTGACTTAAGCCTGTTTGCACGTTACCTCCTCATTAATAAAATTGTGTTCTTTGGTTCTGACAGTCCAATATACTACATATTATCTTAATTTGATATTCTGCTCGTATTTAGTAAAGTAGAACGTGGAAAATTTTATTTTCTTCGGCTTATTCACTTACTACCGACTTTTTATCGTGTATTGTTGATCTTCGTATAAAGTCGGAAATTTTTTATGTAGATATCGAAAAATTCCTTTTACTCCTTTTTAATTATTCATTATAGATTTTGAAGCTCGATGTTAGTTTGCAAGATAACGTGTTTGTTAGTTAGTTTTTAGATATTGTAATTATGTCTTTCTTTGTAATTATATATAATGTTAAAATATGAATCATCTAAAATTAAATGATGGATTATTAAAAATATGATATTAAAGATATGGTAAATAGTGAGGAAATCCCATTTATTTTCAAATGATTATTCACAGGTATTTTATTCGGTAAATCCTCGCGGTTCTAGCGGGACAGTGACATACAATACAGTGAGACGAACTTCGACGTCCCAGTAACAAACCGATATGTAGTAGTAAAAAAATTAACAGATAATTTAAACCAATCACTAAAAAATATTCAAAACGTGATTATATATTTTTGTTATGTTCACACATTTTCAAAATTTAAGTTTCGATTTATCGCAGTTAGGACACTTCTACTCCATTATACACTTCTCCAAGAAATTAACGCACCACTTCAATAAATCAATTTTATTTGTAAACAGGCAAAGAATCAAAAATAAAACTTCACCAGATTTATTCTAGATTTTATTAGTAATTATAACAATTTGTCTAATCATCAGAAAATGTTGAAGTACAGGAGAAAAAAAAATAAAACGGAAAATTCTAAAAAAATAATGATGAGAAAAGTAAACTAAAATATGAAGAAAGTCTTAATAACAATTGTTTCCACCTCTACTACGTATAACAGCCTCACATCGTTGGCCTATACTTAAAATTATTTGCCGTATTTTATTTTGGTTTAGTTCTCTCCAAATCTGCATCAGCCTCTCTCCCACTTCCTGTAAGTTGTTTGGTTGGAGCGGTGTAGTTCTTAATCGCCTACCAAGTATATCCCAGATATTTTCAATCGGATTTAAATCCGGACTATGTGCTGGCCATTCCATAGTGTTAATTTCTACCTCTTCTAGATAATTTCTGACGATCTGTGCAGCGTGAGGTCTGGCATTTTCTTGCATTAGTAAGAAATGTTCACCGATATAAGGAACAAATGGTACTACATGTTGCTCCAGGATCTCCAATATGTACCTTTCCGCTGTAACAGTTCAATTTTGTATGACCACTAGGTCCGTACGTGCGGTCAAAGAAATACCACCCCACACCATAACGGATCCTTCACCAAAAAATGTGGTGTGTGAGAAGTTACACTGAGCTTATCGTTCGTTGGGTCGTCGCAACACACGAACACGTTTGTCGTTATTGTACACACAAAATCGGAATTCATCAGTACATAGCAGTCGTTCCCAATCAGCCTCTAACCGATTAACGTGTTCTCTGGCAAAATGTAGTCTTACCCTTTGATGCTCTGCAGTTAATAGAGGACCTCGGGCGGCAATCCTAGGTGTTAAGTTTTCCAAGTCGTTGGCGAACAGTTTCAGTACAAATTTGTATAGCATGCACGTCTCGAAGCTGAATTTGTAGACTTCGATGTGTTACAAAACGTTGTCGAAGAGCAGAAATTTTTAGAAATCGATCTTGAATAGAGGTAGTTACCCGGTTTCGTCCTTTTCCTGGTCTGCGAGTATGATCCCCTGTTTCGAGGAATCTTTCCAACTGCTTGGGCACATTCATCTCGGGTTAAATTACGTGATTGACGCTCCATAATAAACGCAATTAACAATAATCAACAATTAAGCAGTAGGCGAATAAAATTCGTGAACACTTGGAAATTAGTATATTTATAGAATTAGTAAATTTTTTGCTTCTTTTTGTTTTGTTGCAAAAAAAACTATAGCGATAAAACACAGTCAATAAATATAGAGTGTATGAATAGCATATACAAGGGGCTTGCAAAATATAACATTACAACGGAAATTTTTATTAACGATAATAAAATATTTTAATATTTCAAAGTGGTGCGTTAATTTCTTGGAGAAGTGTATGTCCCTCACAATTTTTACGTACTCGACGAGAACTTATCTTATTCAGTGCCGTTACCTAAACTCACGGGATAGTTATCATATTATTATTTCCCAACATTAATGTTACCAAAAGTAATGTAATTAGGTATGCCGACGATACAGTTATAATAGCCGAACTTGGAAGACTTAGAAAGAATAACGAACAAAATATTAAGATATAGTGGAGAACAACTCTCTTAACATCAAAAAAACCAAATTCATGAAAATTAGCAAAAATATTAATACAAACGAAATATTAACGGTAGGCGGCCAGCAGATAGAGAGAGTAAAAATATATACTTGCTTGGGAACGATAATCACAGAAAATAACGATTATACTGCAGATATATGAGTCAGAATTAAAAAAGCACGTGCCAACTTCGTGAAAATGAAAAATATTTTATGCAGCAAAGATTTTGCATTTTCCCTCAGAATAAGGCTAATTAAATGTTATGTACACAGTGTACTTCTACTATGGAGCTGGACATTAAACCGGAATACAATAAATCGACTTACGTGGAAGATTGTTAAGGATTCTATAGAAGATAGAGACTCTATGTAGATAGAGTCACGAATACAGAAGTGTTAAGGAGAATAGGCAGAGAGAGGGAAATGGAAAATACAATAAAAGAAAGGAAATTGCAATATCTCTGACATGTGGTGAGAGGCGAAAGATAGAACATCTTGAGACTAATAATTCAAGGAAAAATAAAGGGTAGGAGGAGTGTAGGAAGAAGACGCGTTTCGTGGTTGAAGAACCTGAGAGACTGGTTTGGTTGCAGCTCAAGGCAATTGTTTAGAGCAGCTGCCTCGAAGGTCAGAATAGCCATGATGATTGCCAACCTTCGTCGCGGAGATGACACTTAAAGAAGAAGAACATTAATGAATAAATAGATTAAGATCTGAGGTGGATAGAGCATGTAATGCAGTAAAGCTTGTTTCTTTATTCGTCTACTTCTAC